CCACGGGATTTGTAACTGACAGCTGAGTCGGGATCTCTTTACTGAAGTTGACCTTGAGCAAGTCAGTCTCTCCAAGCTCCAAGGTCTTTGTCTTTGTGGTTGAGCATAAGATATATGAACTTTAAGCCAGGTGTGCTGGTGCATGCTTTCAATCCCAGCCCTCAGGAGGCAGAGCCAGGTGGATCTCTGTGATGTTGAGGCCAGCCTAGTCTACATAGTGAGTTCTTGTCTAGCCAGGGCTATCAGTGAGACCCTGTTTCAAAACAAACAAAGAAAGGAACAAAACGCAACAACAAAAGATATATGAACTTTGGGAACTATTGGGAGCTGTGTGCCTAGCAATCCTCTAGTGCTTAAATATTCCCTAAGAGAATTAGAACAGAATGGAACCACGTAACTCCAGTGCTAAGGTGTTAGAAGGCCTGCATTTGATAGTGACCCAAAGAGGGGTAATAGAGCTGAGCATCCACGTCTGCAAGGAAAGGGCGCGTCAGCTTCACTGCAAAGACAACTGAGAAGGAGATTCCAGGGTTCCTGGCTGGGGACAGTTCCATTTGGATTTCCCTTCTTAGTAGGACCGGAAAACATGGACAGCAGTCCCTCTTTGTCCATAAATGGTATAACCTAGATCCCTAATGCCTGCCTAAAGCTACAGTTAGTGCACATACATACATACATGCATACATACATACATACATACATATATATATATACACATATATAGATGCTGTTTCTTCCTCTGCATAATGTATAATACAGTTAAATTTACAAGTTAGATGCAGTAAGAGCCAAAGTTATAAAACAGAATAGTCATAACAACACGCTATAACAAAAGTTTCGGAATGTTCTCGCTCAAAGTGCCCCAACCTGCTTTCACCTTTTCCTCTCCGAGCACGTGCAGCCTCCCTTTGGCGTATAAATTGCCAGCATTGCCCTGTTGTGCTTTGGGGATTTTATTAAGCAAATTAAAGGTTACTTGAAAGAAGTGTCGCAGTAGTACACAATTGATCTGACAAGGAGACAGTGACTAAATGACTGATGGGCATGTGGGTACACAGAAGGAAAGCAATTCATTTCCCTAGTGGGATAAGTGAGAAAGAATGGGCTTTCAGAACGTCATCCAGGATTATTTCTTTCTAGAATTGTAGCTTTGAACTGCAGTTGACCCAAGACGATTGAAACCAAACAAAATGGAACCAGAGAAAGCAAAACGATGGGTATGGGAAGCCTGCTGCACGGTGTTGACCACCAGGTGCAAGTCATAGATAATCAGTTTTCAATAAGTCTAAACTATCAGTATGGGGGGACTACTGTACTATGTTTACCACCAGGAGCAAGTCATTGATAATCAGTTTTCAATAAGTCATACCATGAAATACAGCAAAAACAGAGACAACATCTAAAAACAGAAGTCCATTAAATAGATTATCACCTAGTAAAACCACTGCTGAGCGCAGAAGCTAGAACTTTGTCTGTCACATTGCAACTTTCTGGTGTCCCTGCCTAATCACTGTCCTCCTTCTCCCCTAAAGAGTAACCACCACCTGGACTTCTTGGCGCTCATTTTATTAGTTTTATTTATAATTTTATCAATCAAATGATGGGGATGCCTAAAAATAGTATAGGAATGCCATTAAAGTCTCTTAATTAATATTTTTCTCTCTTTCTCTCTCTCTCCCCTCCCTTCTCTCTCCTCTTCTCTCTCTCCCCTCCTTTCTCTCTCCTCTTCTCTCTCTGTCTCTTGCTTTCTTCCTGGCAGATTGCTTCCTTCTGGTGTAGTTTAATTGGTTTAAATGCTCCTCCGCCCTCCACATTCACTTAACTTGTTTGCTTTTGGAAAACCTCTTTTGAATGGCATTATTTCCTCCTTCAGATGACACAAAATGTCTGTTTATCTCTTACATGTGTGATGCTATTTATGACAGTAGTCACTAAGTAACTCATAGTGCCTTGATTGATTGGTTGATTGTGGACTAGAGGTATGGGTACAGTCTATATTCCATCTTCATTTATTAGCCAATATAAATTTATAAAGAGAAATTAAAATTAATACAGCATGAACACAAAAATAGTTGACTCCTCTGTCCATGGCCAGTTTAATCTGTTATATTTCAATCTAGATCTCAATGAACTTGTACTCTATTTGAAATGATGTGTATAGAGGGCATTTGTGCATTTATACAACTTAAAGGCAATCAAGGGCACTACAGAGATGGCTCAGTACTTAAGAGCACTGACTGTTCTTGTAGAGGACCTGAGTTCGATTCCTAGCACCCACATGGGGGCTAACAACCGGCTGTAACACCAATTGCAGGGTGATCCAACACCCTCTGTGACCTCCATGGGCATTGCATGACATGTGTGCACTTACACACAAACAATACACTCATACAAGTACAATAAAAATAATAAAACATTTTAAAGGCAATCAAAATAAATAACTAAATCTTCAAATGCAGTGCCCACATTGGTGAGATTTTCCCACAAAAGTATTTGCAAAAGTAGTCATTCTTTCCCTGTTTATTTCCTAATTCCATATTAGTGCCCAAGCAGGTTATATCTAATCTATTTGTGTTTTTAAGTGTTCAGATTAATGTATTTTTCTCTGATTCCAATTTTATATAGTATTCTAATACAAGCTTTGCTTCATCACTGGAAATTTTTGAGGGTTCTGGAATTATGGAGCTTCTTTGTTTAAATCACCTCCGTTAATTCTTTGTGATGAGCCCATTAGTGGCATAGGATAGAATGTTTCCAGGGTAGATGGGCCAAGGGTGGCATTTGCAAATAAATGATGGTGGAGCCTGCTTCTTAGCTGGAAACAAAGGAGCAGAGGGACTGATACCAGGAGAGGGTGACAGCGAGCACAGCTGCTGAAGGGGACAAGCAGCCTCCGTTGGAAACTGCTTCCTTTACTGGGACGTTCACTCTTTACTTTTTTAATGCCTAAGGAAACATTTCTTAAAGCTGGGGTTGTTTATCTGTTTGTTAAAAGACAACTTTAAGCTATGCTGAGAAGGCTTTGGGTAAGAGCTTCAACTGATGTTTCTACCTAGCTTTCAAAGCTTCCCATGTGATGTTTTAGTAGTGCAGAAGCTCACTGATAGATGAGTGAGCCATCCTTGCCTTACTGTACTGCACGTACAGAATCTCAATAAATCTGTAACAGTTTGGATTGGAAACCTCTGCATACAAGCAATGTGTGCTTGGAAGACGTGCACTCTAATATATCATTAAACACCTGGTGGGAAATGATATACGGACTCAGAGAAAATTAAAATGCTAACAAGCATCAAAAATATTTTTTTCTACTACACTTCGGAAGTTGGCCTCTGTTTGTGGCCATGGCTGATTTTCATAAAACTCTCCTCAACTGCCTCTTGGAATACACTTTTTCTGTAAAGAAATCAAGTCTTAATTAATGTCTTCTACAAGTGGTTTCTAATTTGCAGGAAGTCCTGGTGAACTTTGTCCGTATGCAGCGCCGTGGATTACAGTGCCACTTTTCATGGAGGTCCCTCAGCATGGCCTCCATCCAGGCTGTTAGGTGAAATTAGGCCCAGAAAATCGGATTATTACCTCCCCGGGGAAGTGGCCGACACCACAGATGATTGCTCATCTCCGGTTACTTACTGGTGTTGAGGTGTTGCTAGCTGCAAAGCCAATTTGTTAACAATTAGTACTCATTAGATTCATTTCCTGCTATTGATTCTAAACATTTGACAGAGCACTTTTACGAAATTGGAGTCCCAAAAAGTATCTATACGTAAGTGTTCCACAATTAAAAATCTTAAAGATCCATTGTAATTCCTTATAAGAGCCATCAGTTTCCAAGTAATTATTTTTCCTTTCAGATCCACCTGCTATCCTGTCCAGTTTAAAGATGTGCTGGAGCAGGACATCCTTCTTAATTAGCAGAGATTGTGGGGAAGTCAGTGTAGGACAAAAGGAATCTGCTTTTACTGATCTGTCTTGGCTATTTGGGGCATCTTAAGGAGCCAACACTATGAGTTTGAAAGCCAGTACAGGTATTTGTGAGTGCGTGGAGTTAAACGCATTAGTTTTGTTCTCTACCCGCGCTCAGTTCTCAAGTCTGCATTCACCTTTGTGTATGATGTACTCTAAACATAGAATCACAAGTGGTGCCAGTGTGCATTACGTTAGAATTTAAATATAGCCAGTGTCAGTGTTCTGAACTATTATATATGACTTTAATAAAATTAGCATAAATACTATATGCATTTGTAATTTATCTGAGAAAATGCATTATATTTATCTAATTTTTAAATATAGATCTACATGCATTATGGTGCTTCAAACTTATATATTCAATGGATGTGCCCTTGTTATCTAATTGAAATATTTATTATGTGTACTAATATCTTCTCATACTGTTTAAATGTTCTTTAGAGTAAGAGAGGGTGCCCTTCTTTTGTGGGTGCTGGTCTTTACAGATGATCTCCTCAAAAATTTCTGTAGGATCAGAACTAAAACTGAATTAGAACCGAATAACCCCCCTGCCCACCCACACAATTTTTCATCCATATCAACTTCAACATTTTCCTTTGCTTCTGGGTTGATTTTGTGAATTTAAACAGTTGTCCCTATTCACCCTCCTTATATTAAACAATGCTTAAAATATTTCTTGTTATCATTGCAAAACATGGAGTTGTAAACTAAGTACATTTCTGATTCTGAATTTTTTTACTACCATATCAGCAGCTTCTATCAATGGAGACATTAAGTGCGTGCTCTTTGAAAATGCCCTGTGCTCAACCCTCTATCCTTAATAAACAGAGATGGTATTGACACAACTGAATTTTGTTTAACCACACTACATTTGCTTCTTAATTAGTGAATATTCATCTGTCATCAGCAGCAGCTATGACACCCTACCCCGCTAACATGTTCTGTCATAAATAATCAATGAGATGCTATTAATATGCATGAGCTGGAATCTGTAGTCATGTGCACTGATGCAGAGACGGGGGAGTGTTGCCATGAACTGACTGGAAACTCTGCGTGTACCGTGAGTGCAGGATACTTGGGGGAAGCGAAGGAGAGCATGCTGCTACATACCACCCTGGCTTCTGCTTCCAGCCAGCAGCGGTCTGTCAGAGTTTCTGGACTGAGTGACTGATGAAAAGCAGTAGTCAAGTCTGGAGGGTGATTCCCTTTCAGTTCACTTGCCTTTCAGTTCTGGGGAAATTAGAAGATTTGCTCTCTCCCTCTGCTTCTTAGAATGGGCTGCAATTTGTGCACTTTTCAGAAAAGAGAGGAACACTACAAACTGCTGTATGAAGTTTCCCAGGTGAGTGCAGGTCGCAGACCTCAGCTAAGCGGCTAGGCTTTGTGTTTGTCTGGAAGATGGGAAATGATTTCTGGCCGGCTTGACTTTTGTCTTTTAGTACATTTCAGAATTGAAGGCAGGCTTGCGGGTTTGGGGCTTTTTATTTGGGGTTTGGGAGCCAGTTTTGCGTCTCCTAGCCACTCCCCCTTCAGAGGACTTCCTGTGGGATTCCTTTTAACATTTTGTGTATCTACTGCCAAAATGTCAGTCAAGTAAGAGCAGAACACTGGGGTCCCTGTCTCTACTCTTTGGAGAAACCTTCATTTTGGAATGATGTTGACATTTGAAAACCAATTGTATCATTGTCTGCATAAATATTGGGATTTAATAGGTCTGTGATCTCAGTCATTTTGAATAGACAGGAAAAGTTTCTTGCCAAATCTTGTTAGGCAGAGGAAATTATTTGATTAATGAGGAATTTTTGCTTTGGTTTAAAAGGGAGACCTTGTATTTTTGTATTACATAAAGGAAAACATGTGACCTGTCTTAAGAAGAAGAAAAAGGAATTTAGGAAATTTTTTTACCATTTGTTCTTGAATCCTTGTTATATTTTTTGTCTGTCTAGCACTAAAAATTAAGTTCAAGTGTGTATGTGTAGTGTATGACGCAGGAAATAGCATATAAATTCAAATGTATCTTTAATGTATATCTGGGAGCCTTTTGGGCTAAAAGAAAAGTACTACTGACCTTTCAACATTTTAATAGAACTCTTAATTTGACATTTTTTTTCACAAAGCTCAAAAGCAAACGTCTCATCTGTCAAAATAAAGTTTTTTTTCTCCCTTCTTGCAGTCTGCCCCAGATATGGCAAGACCACTTTTGTTTTTAGACAATCTTGTTGATGAAAGACAATGTTTGGGACGCTGTGGTGTATGGCCCAGCAGTCGCCAAGTGCCCACTGCCTATTGCTCCCTCAGATTTCCCCCTGATGTGATTCATTTCACAGTGGGCTAATTACAAAGTGGATTTGCTACACATGAAACAGCCTCCTCAGTTGCAATGTTAATGCACATTTTCATGGTAATGTGATCAGAGGCTCATTAGCCAGTTTCCAAAATGATCCTCTGCATTAATTAAATATAAAAATGATTCCTTTATCACCATAGAGAGGAAAAAGAAGATTAACATTGTTAATTACACTGGGGGGCAATACCTTTGGCTTTCCTTTAAAAATAACCCCATAAACTTGCAAGTGTGAACTAAAATAATGCTCATTTCCTGGATGCACTCTCATCCGCTTGATTCTTACAAACAGTCTCTAGGTGGAACACTTTCCTTTAGTTTGCTTGTTGGACTTTGAGTTCCAATATTGTTTTTCTTTGGGTGGTCAAGGAGCAGAGAAGTGGTTTCATCAATGTGTTGTTGTTCGTTTTTTAATCTGAATTCCGAATTATATAAAAGTGTAATGTGGCGATACTGGTAACGTGCCTCGCTCTGCTTGTGCCTTCCTTGAGCTGTTTGTGTGCTAGTAAGGAATCTGGGATTAGTGCTCCAGAAAGGACTGTGTTTGCTAAGGAGCAGGAGCCTTTGTTACGGATTTGTAAGATGCTCCTGTGTGAGCTTTGCCTTCAAGTGCTTCCTAAATCTTGAGAACATAGATAAGCCGCACCCTTCATCACATCTACCTACACTCCCCTATCTATTTATTTTATTTTCTCTTCGTGAGTTGCAGTACTTATGATCTTTAATAAACGGGGCGAGATGAAGTATTAGCTTCCATTTAACTGGCTTTTATTAGATAAGTTAAAACCCCAGCTTAAAGTTCTTGCCTGTGCTTTCCAGGAGGAGCCTCCTACAGTTTGTTCCCAGCTTTGCCTTCTATTTTATTGAGTTAATGGAATAGATAAGATATCAAAGGAAAGCAGGGATAGGCTCATATAATACACTGCAGCCCCGTGTGGTGCTGCAAACTAGTTTCTATTTTTATTTGGAGGAAAGGCAGCTCACAGCACACATGAAAGTGGACGCGTCCTTAGCCAGGTATTCAGGGGGCACATAGCTGCCCCCTGAAGAGGGGGTACAGTTTACAAAGCTGCCGTGAGACAGGAGCAGAGTTTTTCTACCAAGTGTTTTAAGATGAATTAGTGCACACAGACATTATCACCTGACTGTCCAGGCACTATTTATTTACACACTTGTAATTGTCACATTACCTGCCTTTCTGTTTCTTTGTTATTTTTAAGAGCCAAGGAAAAGAAGGTGTGATCATGCAAAATCATCAGCAGCGAATGCTAAAGACATGCCCACCAGTGAAATCTTTGTTTCTGTATAATAGAGTCGTTATGACATTGAACTTTCCCACATTGCTCTCCAGATTTAGTAACTCCATAATGCCCGCCAAGTAGAATATTGGTCCACAGTGCTGACTGCAAACAGGCGGATGTGCTGCCCGGTGAAGAGCCCAGCCTGAGTGGCACATTCTAGCTCGGAATGAGGTCGTTTATATTTTGGTGATTTTTTTTCCCTCTCATAGAGGAACTGAGACTTTCAGGTGGCAAAAAGATAAACTGTCACCTCAAGAAAATTAGTCTCAGCTGTGCTTGAGCCAATCAGGGTCCAGTATGAACCCAGATGCCCTAATCCAGGGCTTGGGTAGATAAGGAAAACTTTCCACCAAGCAGTTTTCAAGTATTTCCACACATCTGCTAATTTTTACATGTGCCAGGGACACAACTATTTTCTACAGTGATTTATCCAAAGCAGTTATTTTTTAACCTCTTAAGAATTAATAAGTGGGTAATTTGAAGAATTTAATCCTTCTGTCGACAATAACTGAATTGCCTTTTTCGTGTGAATCTGATTGAATCACGCATGCCTTGTAAGAGCTCCAGAAACTCATGAGGCTTCTCTAACCTAACATAACAGACATGTACCTCAGTGACACGCTGCCCAAGTACCTGCTCTAATGACTTCTTAACCTCATTGTGCATATAAATTAAATGTAATTTTTTGATTGATTCAATGATAAAAAATTATCAATGGGATGTTCACTGGTGCTGAACAATGTTTTTAAACAGGGGTAAATATTTAAAAGTTCATGGTGTTAATACCACCAAAGTGTTCATAAGATTTCATTTAAATTTTATAATGTAGCAATGCAAGGTTCTGTTCTCACCAAATTAGAGAAAGGAAATTAATTTGCCTTAAATCTCAGAAAGCCAGGAGCAAGGGGTGTGGATCTCTGAGCAGAGTTACTGTTGGAGTCTTCTGTCTTTTGAGTGAATACTCCTATAGAACACAGAGTTGATTTATTAATTTGAATATTTGGGCACAGCTATCCCCATCACTTGCATCCATGAATCTGTCAAACAAAGTAGAACATAACCTGAATTCAAGTGAGATCATAGCTGAGTATGGTGGCTTGCACTTGTAACAAAAGTACTTGGGAATGGAAGATGGAGGCAAGAGGATTGCTGTGAGTTTAAGAACAGCTTGAAGTTCAGTGTGACACCATGTCTCAAAAAGATAAATAACACTAGTGATCACTTACTGTATTATAAGCATGGCCTGGGCACTTTCCCACGAAACATGTAATCCTTTCCTACAGCATTTAAATTACACCTATCTATCATCTATCTACCATCTATCTATCTATCATCTATCTATCTACCATCTATCATCTATCTATCTATCATCTATCTATCTATCTATCATCATCTATCACCTATCGTGTGTGTGTGTCTGTCTGTCTGTCTGTGTGCATATGTGTTTGGGCATGTGTATACTGGTGGGAGTCAGTTCTCTCCTTTTACCCTATAGGCCCTGAAGATGAAACTCAGGTTTTCAGCGAGTTCCTTTACTCACTGAGCCATCTCACTGGCCTCCTCTCCCAAGATGCTTTAATCTAATATGTTGAACTCTCTCCTAGCCTACAGTACTTCTTCTGTCTTGCATAGTTTCCTTTCTCTAGGTTCTGTCCTGGACCCTTCAGACACCCATTTTGTCTCGTGCTGTGAAAGCCCAACTCCATTTCTTAGCCATTCTCCCCATGTCTCCAAACTTCAGTCGCATTGCTTTTAAAAATGCTCAGAACCATTGCCTGGAAGTGACATGTCCTCTGCATGGTGTCCTTCCTGGCGATTCTTCTTCTGCATCCTTCCACCCTCCTCCTCCTCGCCACACCTTTTATTAACTCTCTCTGGCATCCTACTAAGAACGTTTGACTTTAGGATTTGTTAGTGGGCTGGCCTACCCTGATTCCTGTGCTGTAAATAATTCTAGACCATACTTAATGGCTTCCAATGACCATAAAATGAAATAAAAATTTCTTATTGCAGGATCCAAGACCCCCTTTCTTAAGATCATTTTACTATTCTTCTCCAAGGCAAACTGCAGCTCCTCCAGACCCTTCCTTGCTTTTCAACCAGCTCCCCACCGTGTGTCTTACACTCGGTCATCTGTGGAGCAGTGTACATTCACCTTCGCCGTGATGTTTTTCCATCACTAATTTTTCAGATTTCTTCTTGGGCAGAGAAATTGCAACAATTTTTGGTGAAAAGAAATTAGCGTCCTTGTAACACTTGTCTGTGCCTTTTGGAGTTCCCTTTTCATGTCTCTGTGTCCGGCAGTATAGACAGTTGTGTGTGACTGAATTAGATGTTCCTAGAGGGCAGGCCAGGCGCTCGTGTGTTCTTTCAGCCCCATGCTGCCTATAGACACTCATTAAAGCCCAGTATGATGCCTTGCTCACCCACAGCCTTCTTAGACTCAGAATTCCTCATTCACAGCTTCTGGAAAAAGACGCAGTCACCAACCTTTCTCTCTACCACGTGTCTAGTAGCACCGTGTACATGAAGTTGGAAGTTCAATGAAAAGTTTTCCAGTCTCAGAAATTTATACTAAGAAACAGGCCGTTAATAACCATATTGTAATAGAAAGAAAGGCTGGGGCAGGCACAGTGCTTTACGTAGTCTGGGAAGCTGGAAGGCTTCCAATCCATTACAAGGATTATGTCACATACA